GGAGCTGAAGCTGCTGCCATCCCCCCCCTGCAGCCGCTGGCCCAGGCAAGGGAGCAGCAAAGGCAGGGCCAGGAGCAGAGGCAGCAGCAGGGGAGCCCTGGGGGGGCCGGGAAGCTCTTGTGTGGGGCAGGGAAGAGGCGCTGGGCACGAGGCCGGGGCTGTGCTGAGCAGGCCCAGCCCTCACATCCCCCCAGCCAACGCCGGCTGCCCGGGGGGCTTGGGAGGGACCCCCAGCCCATGTGCCCCACACTCAGCTGGCAGAGAGAGAGCCAAGGGACAGGGCCACGGGCAGGGCCACGGGTGAGGGACAGGCAGGGCCATTGCAGGGCCACGGTGAGGGCACAGCCTGTGGCAGCAGAGCTGCCCAGGGCCGGGGGCAGCCGGGGGTGTTGGTAGCAGCCAGTGCTGGGGCCGAGCAGAGCACGAGGCCTCTTGCAGAGCCCTGGAGCAGCCTCCCACTTGCCAGCCCTGCCCTGGTGGGGTGACACTGTCCCCTCCCTACAGGACACTCCCCCAGAAATCTTTATGGGGGCCTTTTGTGTCTATTCCTGGTTGCTGATTGATGCTGGGGACCTGAGGGAGCCTCTGCAATCCCATCCCTGGGGCACAATCTCCTCTCCAGAGCTTGACTTCTTGCAGCCTTTGCAGGGAAATCTGTGCTGGCAGCTGCATCCTGAGCCCGAGGGCAGTTTGTATCCCCGAGTGCTGATCCATCCTGGGGACCCAAGGGATCCTCTGCCATTCCATCCATGCAGCAGGAGTCACTCTCCTGCCCTTAACTCCTTGCAGAGGAACAAGTGCCATCTCTCTGTTTGGGAGAAGCCAGATGCTGCCCCTGGGCCATCAGAAGTGGTGCTGAAGCCTCTTTCAGCCCAGCCCCGGGTGCAGTTTTCTCATCCCCTCAGCGAGTGCCCGCTCCCCCAGCCGGCACTGACCAACCAGGGCGTTTGGCACACGTGGTTTGGTGGTTTGGAGGAACAGCCCCAGACTGGCAGGGGTCCAGAGAACCTCGAGGAACAGCCCTGGAGAGTTTTAAGTGACACTACATTAATACAGGTTTTGATTAATATATAGCAGCTCAATCAAGTGCTCATGAAATGACCTCACTCCCCTCATCCTCCCAATTAAACACCCTTTTTTGGGCTAAATCTTTATAATTTGGATTACTTTTTGGGTGGATCTTAACTTTTTGCAGTATTCCTAAGTGGGACCCCCAGCATCCCAGACAGGGAAGACCCTCTGAACTGTAGAGGGGTGTCCTAGTTAGAACAGCTGGGACCAATTCATCACTGGATGGGTGTAACCCAAAACTGTGTAATTCTATAGCCTTCCATGCCATTTCCCAGAAACTGTTATCAGTGGAGGCCTGCGAGATAGGAAGATGTTCCTGTACTCATACCCTTTTATGGAATTCCCCGTTCTGAGGGAGGGACTGAGCACTCCTGCCTGAACTGGAGAATATAGAAACTGGGAGTTTCAGAACCTTGGCACCACTCGTGGGATCCAGAGGAAGACTGCAGACCACCGCTCTCAACCAGACTGAGACCACCACCCTCAACTGGACTGCAATCACCACTTTCTGACCAG